CGCCCCTTTCTCGTCGATCTCTCTCGCTCTCTCTCTCTCTTTCTCTCCACCTCCTCTCTCGTCGTAGGACGCTCGCCCGCCGGTATCTCTACAATGAGAACAATACCGTGGTTCTTCCGCCGGAGCGGACAGACAAAGGGCATTCCTGGGACAAAACCGTCGTCACCACCGTCACCGTCACCGTCGTCGTCATCGTCATCATCGCCGCGAGTCTCTGGAAAGTCCCAGGGGAGTACGTCGGAATATCTCGAATAGAGCGCATGGATCATAAGCATAATCCCTCCTCCCCTCCTTGTCCCGTCGACACCTGAATCTCTCTCTCTCTCTCTCTCTCTCTCTCTCTCTCTCTCTCTCTCTCTCTCGTAGTCACACGGCGGGCAAGAGCGAGGAGAAACGAAGGGGAGGGGAGAGAAAGCGTCGTCACACAGGTGGACGATGAAAGGGCGAAGAAAATTTTATTATCCCGCGACGAGCTCCCGGCAAGAGACAAGTGGCAAACATTGCGCGGGCGACTTTGCGCGGCAGGGGAGGGGGAAGGACAGAGGCAAAAAAGAACGAACGAGGAAGAAATATTAATTAAGAACGTGTACGCGCAAATAATTCCCACACTGGCTGGCGGCTGCTTCGCGATAAGTGGCATAATAGGCCGAGGAAAGGACACGCGTGAAAGAGAGAGAGAGAGAGAGAGAGAGAGGCCAGGACCAAGTTGGGCCGCGTCGCCGCGCGTCTATTATATTGTTTTGAATTAAACGTGTCGCGCGCGGCCGTCGAAAGAGAGAGAGATAGGAAAAGAGAGTATGAGAGAGAGAGAGAGAGAGAGAGAGAGAGATAAAGAGAGTGAGCCGCAAGTTTTAATACAAGGGTTTTGGATTTCACGTGCACACATCCAGTCGCGACCTCCAGTCTTCCTCTCTCTCTCTCTCTCTTTCTCTCTCCCTCTACCCTCCCCCTCTCTCTCTCTTTTCGGCGCGTCCTCCGCTCGCCTCCTTCCGTTTCCCGTCCTTTCCGCGAGCTCGTCTCGTCCCTTTTCTCTTCTCCCCTCGCATTCTCTCTCTCTCTCTCTCTCTCTCTCTCTCTCTCTCTCTCTCTCTCTCTCTCTCTATATATATATATATATATATATATATATATATATATATATATATATATTTCTATCTCTGTCTCTCCTCTGGCGATGCGCCCGTTATTTTTCGGCAAGCTCGTCGAATCGAGTTCTTTTTAATTGGTGCGACATCGACGCTCGCGCGCCCGCGGGCGCGTTCCCTGCTCGCTCGCTCGCGAGCACGTACGGACTCGTACGTATTTATTTTTTCCTTCCTTTCGCGCGGCTCCCCCTCCCCCGCCCCATCCCCCGTCGATCGAGTCGACCGGCTCTTTCTACGGCGTTTTTCGACGGTCGCGCGAATTCCAGCCATCGTTCCTTTGTCACGGTAACGGCCGCCGTCCAGCTTGTAACGCGGTTCGAGTGTCCGAGAGAGAGAGAGAGAGAGAGAGAGAGAGAGCCGATGACGTCGCCGCGATGATGGCGACTCGGGTGTACAAGAGATGGAAAAGCATTTGTTGCATTGCGCGAAACTCCTGCTCGCGGCGATGCGCATGAAATTCGGCTCGCTCCGGCTCGTTTAAAAAAAAAAAAAGGAAACAGCTCCGCTGCTCGCTTTCGCTACCAGCTTCCGCAGCGAGTTCTCTGCTCCCGACAAGCAGCGGCTGACAAGGCTGGAGAACGAACGTACCTCCAGACGACACGAGCGCGATTAACGATTCCCTCCTCGGCGAATCGGCCGCTTATCGCTCGCGCTTTCGAAGAGCCATCTGATTGTACATCCTCCAACGAGCGACAGGCGCGAAAGGCGTTGTCCCGCGGCTCTCGCAGGCCGCGCTCTTGGTATTCCGCAAAGTGCCGGCGACGCGGAGCGTTTAGCAAATCGGTTTCTCGCAACGAGAAGGGGGGAAGGGAAGGGAAGGGAAGAAAGAAAGAAAGCACGTCGTCGTCCTTAGCGCTACTTAGCAGTGAGCCCGCGAAACGGTCGATTCGCGCCGAAGCCGCGGAAGCACGCGGCCGAGATCGAGGGAATTCCTGCGAAATGCAGCCGAGACCGCCGGCGAACGCGACGAATCGTTAACGGGCTTGTAATCGCCGGCGCATTGCCGTGAGGGGGCGGAGAGGCGGGGGGAGGGGGGTCCGAAGTAACACGAACGACCGCGGACGAACGCGGAATAGTTATCGCGTGCGCTTTTCTCGCGCGTTTCGAGGAGGTCAAGCGAGATTGGCAATATTCGCTGGCGAGCCGCCTCGTCATGCACGGCACACTCCCTCTCGCTCTCTCTCTCTCTCTTTCTCTCTCTCTCTCTCTGTCACGGCTGGGAAGAAATTTCGCAGCGCGATCCAACGCGCGAGTCACGCTGAGAATGTCGCGCCTCCGCGGCGAAGTGCCGCTCGCGCTCCGCCCGGCTTTTTCAATTGCGACGCGCGCTCATAGCCCGATGATCGTTCATCTCCATCATTCTAAGCGCTAGCACCGGTCTGTCTCTTCAGGTGCGCGCGTCGGCTCTGCGCGCGCGTGCGAGTGACAACGGCGCGGCGCGTGATTTTCCTCCTCCGGCGACGACGGCGGAATAACGCGATGTGCCGAGATCTACTTGGCGCGACTAACGATTCGGGAGTGCTGTTTGCCGTGAGATTTCGAGCGAGACTCGCTTCGCGCCCCGTTCCCGTCGGGATGGAGATAAACGCACGAGAGACAGAGAGAAAGAGAGAGAGAGAGAGAGAGAGAGAGAGAGAGGCGGAGGGAGGGAGAGAGTTCGCCGAGACACGCTCGTTGTCGGAAATAACGACATAATGACATGGTAGAGGATGAGTGCCCGAGGTAGGTAAATCCAAGACGAGGCACGGAGAGCGACCGGAGAGACAGAGGGAGATGATGATCGAGAGGGATAGAGAGAGAGGGAGGGAGAGAAGGAGAGAGGGAGGGAGAGAGAGAGAGAGAAAGAACCAGACCGGGATATATCCAGCGAGCAAAGAGACGGAGGAGGAGGAGGAGGAGGAGGAGGTGGATCACCGGCGTGTCTCGGCAGCATCCCTGACCATCGCCGGTGGTTCATCAACTCCGAGGAGTTGAAGAGGCCCTAATAGGCTCTCTCCCGCTAGAACCTGGGCCACGTCACGCACCCTTTTACCTCACGTCTCGACCTGATTTCGCGCGCGATTCTCGCCGCCGGACTGTCAGCCGCGATTCGCCCGGATTTATTAATCAGCGCACTACGCCCCGAATTTGCATAACGAAATAAAAGGGCGACGCGTTTCTCTCTCTCTCTCTCTCTCTCTCTGTCTCGTGTGCGCGCGCGCGCGCGCGGCGGCCTGGTGAAAAGTCGCGATTATTGAAATCGCGGTATAACAATAATGACGATAATTCGCCGGCAGACGGGCGAGCCGCGCGCGAAAATCACCTCCGCGCCGTGTTTTTTCGCGGCGATTGAAACCGCCCGCAACTAGCGGGGCGGGGAGGGATGGGAGGCGGGAGGGGCGGACGCCGCGCGCGAAAAGCGGAAAATGAAATTCAATATTTAGAGCGAGAGAGAGAGATATATATATATATATATGTACATATGCGTAATTTCACAGACGAGACTCCAGCCAGTCGCGGCAAACAAGAAACGCCGAGTAGCCAGAGCGAGCGCGCGCGCGCGTCTCAAGAAACGCGCAATTATCTCGAGCCTCGTAAACATTAGTCACGCCAAAGAGGGGGCGTATATTATCGGCAAAAGCGGCGATTGCGATATTCCGTCGTTTCTCTAATTATTGACCTTCGACGGACGACGCGCGCGAGCGCGCGCGCAATTGCAATAACTTTAACAGCGCTTTATCGCGTTAACGGCCGTTATAAATCGCCGGCGGATATATATTGATACAACGCGAAATTCCACGGTAAATGAAACAACGGCGAAATTGAGTGGTCAACGCGCCGACGCACATTACCGCGATAATTCCCAATAATTTATCATTCGCCGCGTCGTCCGTCCGTCCGACCGCGCGTTCGTTCCGCGGCGCGCGGTAATCGTCGTCGCATTTCGTGCGTCATGAAGAATTAACGTCGTCGCGCGCGCGGTTTGCCATCGCCGACGCGCTCGCGCGCGGAGTTTATCGGCCGTAAAGAATCGACGTGGGCTCTCTCTCTCTCTCTCTCTCTCTCTCTCTCTCTCTCTCTCTCTCTCTCTCTCTCTCTCTCTCTCTCTCTCTCTCTCTCTCTCTCTCTCTCCTCTCTTAATGGGTTCACGCGCCGTGGAATCGCGCACAAAGCGCGACGCGCGCCCGCGAGAGATCGCGACCGCGGGCGCGCCACGCTCTCTTTAACACCGAATCGGCCCAATTTTGCCCACTATTTAGCGACGCCATGCTTCGCCGCAGCCGAATTAGCCGAATCCGCGCGCGGCCGCACGGCCGCACGCGCGCCAATCGATAGCCGCGCGCGCGTTTCGCGGCCTGAGCGACCACCCGCTGGCGCACGTATCAAACTGCGTCTCTTCCTCCTTCTCTCTCTCTCTCCCCCCTCTCTCTCTCTCTCTCGTTGTTTTGGCAGGAGAATCTCCGGCGGCTGATCATCTCCAACCGAGTTCCGCGCGCGAGCTCCGCTCGGTCAGCTCGAGCGCTGCCGTCTCGACGCGATTAATCGCGCGAGCACGCGCGCGCGTTTGCAAATATAAATCGCGAATCCAATTTGCGAAGACCATAAATCAATAGCGTGATGACGATGAGCGTTGCGCGGCGAGGCGCGCAACGACCCGGCCGAGAGAGCCGGGTCGAGGAGTCCGGACAAAAGACGCGGTGTGTCGCGTCCTCGTCCTCGTCCTCCTCGTCGTTGTCGTCGTCGTCGTCGTCGTCGCGGAGAACAAAAGGGACCTGCCGCGGCCGGGCCAGTGCGAGCGAGCCAGCCGGTGGCAAGTCTGAGGCATGCCAAATTTGACGGGAATAAAACCAAGAGAAGCATAACCGGACCACTCACCATAGAGACGGGGATGGGTCCTCCGGCACCGTTGGGGTACGGGTACGGCGAGACGAGGTAGCCCATGTTGAAGGAGGAGGTGTGCGGCGTCGGGTCCACCTTTCCTGCTTGAAAAACAAACGGGAGCACGATTATTAAAATCTCGCCCGGCTTGCGAGCACGTCGCCAGACTTTTCTCTCGTTATCGCGCGGCTCTTGTCGAAGCGCTCTCTCCCTCTCTCTCTCTCTCTCTCTCTCTCTCTCTCTCTCTCTCTCTCTCTCTCTCTCTCTCTCCCTCTCTCTCGGTCGAACCGCTACGCTCGCATTTTCGCATCGAGATTTTTGGTTCACACGGAAACTGTTCGAGACGCTGGGTGGAACGCATGAAGATAGCGAGTAAGCGAGTCAACATTATAAAAGATCGAAACAAGCATGGGTTGAAGCAAACGACCGAGGAAGAAGGGAGAAGGACGTGAGCATCTCGGCGGAAAAATAAGAAAACGCACTGCTGGTAATGAGAGCGGAAGATTCTGGACATTTTGGAAGGAAACGCGCAGATTGCGTGACATTAACGTACAAAAAATAAAATAAAACATAAAATAAAGTATGGACGATTAAGCGAATGTCGTCAACCGAGTCAATCTTGGCTGAGATGAAGAGAATATCGGACCATCGTCATTAAAAGAGCAGCGGCGCGGCAAAATTACACTGATAGAAAAATATAGTCGAATTAACTATAATCTCACTATATTTTATAGTTCATTTTGGCGTCAATCATATTCTTATAGTTCGTGGAAACCTGCAAAATATAGTAGAATAAACACAAATATATAGTCAATGATTGTCTTAAATAATTGTTTAGTTACTTTTACCACATATATGGTAATTTCTCATTCACAAATATAGTGAGATTTAATATTCATATAGTCACATCTGTCATCATTTAGCAAATATTCTGGTAATATTGACTATATAAAAAAGTTACTTTAACTACCATTTTATATTTGTATTCGTACAATAATTTTAGTTTAACTTACTATAATTCTTAGTAAAAATATTATACGGTTGGTTATACCACGCCTATATCGTAATTATTACCGATATTATGGTAATACTTACTATAAATATATTTCGGACTATAATTTAGTTACTATATCATTATAGTTCCAAATACTTTTCTCTTTTATAGTACCGCTTTTTTATAGTACCATATACTTTTCTCTCAGTGTAGCCGGTCGAATTCTCGCGGATTTTGTGATATCGCGCGATATTGTTGTCGCTCTCCCTCTTCCACCCCCTCTCTCTCTCTCTCTCTCGCGGTGAGTCGTATCGCGGATTGTTGCACGTCAGCCGGACGTTAAACGGACCACAGTCGGAGAAACATTCTTTTAAATGGCAGTCTGCACGCGACGCGCGAGCGAATTGTCGAAAGTAAAGGAGGTGGTTCCGAAAAAAGAATCGACGCCGGCACGACGACGATTTGCGGTTCGTGCAGCAGCGCCGGCCTTAATTATACGCTTCCCTGTGCAAATCGCTCGCGCCCTCCCCCCTGCTCCGCTCCGTCGTCCTTTTTCCATAACAGTTTGCCGAAAAGCGCAACACCGCGCGGCATTTATCGGAATCTAGTCCCACCTCGACCCAATTCACACGCGCGCGCGCGCGCCCGAGAGCGCGTAAAAATGGCCGAAGGGCCATTAAAATTATCGGTTAGTCGGAACGCGCTCGCGCGCAAAGTCGCATTTTAATCGACTTAATAACGCGCACCGCGCCGATCCGCCTACCGGATACCGTTTCGTCCGAGAGAGCGTCCCTGTTTATAAATATTGCGTCGACATTAAAACCAGTCCGCGCGCCAGTTTAATGGGATTCAGCGAGTCGTTGGCGTGGGCTACGGCAGGAGCGGCCGAGATCCTGGCCGAGCGTGAGAGAGAGAACCTGCTCGCGGGACTATTAGCTGATACCAATCGTTGCATCGCCGCGCGCGCGCGCGCGCGCGACTAATCCTTAAACGCGCGGACGGAGGAGCCTCGCGAGCTCGCTTATCCTTCCGCCAAACTGGATCGTCGCGCGTTCCACAGGCAACAGGAGGAATCCGTGCGCAAAGGATTCTCTCTCTCTCTCTCTCTCTCTCTCTCTCTCTCTCTCTCTCTCTCTCTCTCTGTCGCGCTTCGCGATACCGGCCGTGCCGTTCGCGATCGCGCGCGCAATCGAGACGGATTCCGCCCGCGCGGAATCGCCGCGGCCGCGAGAACTCTCGTCCGTTTCATGAAGCCCGTTTCGAGGCTGATAATGATCGCCGCGATGCGTTTCATCGTCGAGGAGTGTCGTTAGGTCGTCCGGTCGTCCGGTCGATCGTCTCATGACTGCGCGAATGCGCGAAAAACGTCACCGTCGCAACTCGACAGATGCGACGAGGAGCGCGTCCTCTCTCTTCTCCTCGCCCCGCGGATGACGAGCGTCGAGTAGCACGGAGCTGAGAAATTATCGGCCAGAGATCGTTTGATCGGATGAACGCAAATTCCCGGCGGATAAGAGCCACTCTCACGCACAGGCGCGGGAAAGACGTGGATTCTCGTGAAATCTGCCCGCCGCGGTTTCACGATCGAAACGAGAAGAACGCGGCGAGTTTGGCCGGGGTATTATAACGTTGCGTTATACAACTATGCAGGCGCGCAAAAGTACCGGCGAGCAAAAGTACCGACAAGTTACACGGGACGAGTCGAGCCCCGAGTGAGTGAAACTGAACTGAACTGCGCTACGATAAAATTCGACGAAGAAAATGGTTACCATGAAAAGCGGCCCCGCAGCGCGACGTTCGCCGGTCAGCTTTCGAAACCACGTGTGTGCAAACACACATACACACAGACACACACACACACACACACACACATCCTCGGCGATCCCCGATCGATGATATCCAACACGAAATCGACCACGTCCAGACCAGCTCCGCCTCAGCCCGTATAGAAATTTCTTAGGATTCTCCCAGATACAGTTTAGATTCCAACTAGAATATCCAAATTTGGCCCAAAATAGCTTATCCCATCACGATACCAATTAGAAATCCCATTCTTGTCCCAAAAATGGGTTCTCTATCTAGAATCGGGAAAAATTACCTTTAAATTCCAACCTTTTTTATTTATACAAATGTCTTTTTTTGTCTTAAATTGTTCCGTATCCGGACGTAATATAATACATTTTCGTTTTGTACAATGTATAGAATATATTTTTATGTTTGAAGATAATTTGATTAATTCGTACATGTGTAAATTGGATGAGTTTGTCGGATATTTATATATATTCTTTATTTTTTTTAGCTTGAAAGCCTTCTATTAATATTTTTTCATAATTATTTCTCTTGCAAACAACTTGAGTTATTTTAAAAATCGAATTAATATATATATACGATATATATATATATATCATATTATTAATTCGGTTACGTATATGCATTATTGTTGTATATATAAGAGATAATTATTATAAATTAATATTTACAATAAAAAATATATATAGTTTTAAATATTCATTTATTTTATAAAAACTTCTCACAAAATATTGCTTCAAGTATTTAAATATTTACATTTTACACGTATATGTGTGTATGCATATATATGTAAAGTGTAAATATTTAAGGTATTGTACATCTCATTCTTATCATAAAATGTAAAATGAAAACCAGAAACATTTTTGGGAGTGACCAAACAGAATTTGTTTGTGTTTCCCATTTAGAATCGCATTTTTAAAACATTACACTTCTAACTAGAATCTGTATAGATTTCCCAGTTAGAACCCAAACATATTTTGGGAAATCGGGATAGAACTCAAATAGATTCTAAAATATTTTCCATACGGGAGCTGACAATTCGAGCTGACCGGCAGGATCATCTTTGATCTCTCGCAAGCGTCCTTTCCGCGAAGGATAATTTTCCGCGGCGCGATCGCGACATCGAGTACCTTCGCCGGGTATTTCGATCGCGTGGGCCGCTCAAACACTCTCGAATTACCGCTATTTTAAACGGACGGTCCACGCGAGTGGCGCGAATTCAATTAATGTACCTCGTCGGCGATCGGCGCGAGCGAGCGCCGTCGCGCCAGCAGTAGCCGACCATGAAAGAGTTAATTCTTCGCGGCGGGCCTACGCGCGATCTCCCGATCGTCGCGCGACGCAGGACCATTGACCTTTCCCCGGGTGTGTACGAGACGTGCGCCGGCCGCCGCCGCTCATTCGGCGGCCAAGTTATTAAGACGCGAGAACGCTTCTGCCGTACGCGTCGCTTCGGCGCGATTCACACGAACGCGCGCGGACGATTAAATTGTCAGCTACGCGACTCTATAAATAACGCAACGCGGCGCGCATACCGCCGAGCCGAGTCCCGCGATCCTCGTTTTATCAACGCCCGCGAGCCCGCCCGATGAAAAGCCCGCTAGAGAGAGCGAGAGAGAGAGAGAGAGAGAGAGAGAGCTGGTTTTATCGAGCTTCCCGCGGCGAAGCGCTCGGCGCGGATTTCGCGCGCCAAGCTTATCCAGAGAGAGAGAGAGAGAGAGAGAGAGAGAGAGAGAGAGAGAGAGAGAGAGAGAGATGGCGCGAAAAGCGCAGTAAAATCGCGAACAAGAATATCAAAATAAACCACACGCCGTCGCGATTGCGATAATAAACCATCGCGGACGGCGTAACGGAGACGGTAATAAATGCGAATCCCGCGCGACGAGGCGCATCGCGGCGAGCGAGTTTCCCGAAGATCGAAGCACTCCGCGCCGCGGGATCGCATTCCGCGGCCGCGGAGCAGAACCGCGTAAAAGCGCGAGCAAGAGGGGAGCCGTACTTCAGCTTTCTCTCTCTCTCTCTCTCTCTCTCTCTCTTGCTCTCTTCCTCTCTCACTCTTCCCCTCTCACGCATCCATTCGCCGAGTGCATATCCTGGGCCGCCGCACATGTGCGCCACACTCCTCGCGCCCAAAGTTTACTGCCAGCTCGTTTCCCCCCGCCGCTGCCCCTGCCTCCCCCTCCTCGACCGTCCTTTCCATCACGATCGGCGCGTCTCCTCCCCCGCTCGGCTCGCTCGGTGCGCGTTCTCTCTCTCTCTCTCTCTCTCTCTCTCTCTCTCTCTCTCTCTCTCTCTCTCCGG